GAGAAGGAACTCACTTGGAACAAAGAGGCATGTCTATTTTACATGGTATTAAATCTGCACCTTTGGATGGTCCTCACGTCCCCTGAACAACACAATTGGTTGTACCATGAAATCTGTGACATGGAACAAATAAACAATCTAATCAAGTAGAGATGGTTGTAAAATATTGTTCAAATAGTAGAGCATGAAAATAATAACCTATATGGAAGCAGATCAATGAGCTAACAGAAACTGCTATTTACATGGCGAAACTATTTATCGTACAAGCTGCCAAGGAAGAACTCTAAGTAGGAAACCAGGTAGGCAATTCATGTGTGCTTACAAATATTTGTTTTTTGTTATGTTCCTCGCCATTCATGTGTGCTTACAAATATTTGTTTTAAATCGGTAAGCATGTACATTGGTAAACCAGGTAGGCAATTTGTGAATAGCGAGAACTGAAAATAAAATTGCAATCTAAGAATGCAGGCTGCGAAGCTAGCACTCGTAGAGAAACAACTAACTAATAAGATCAGGGTAGGTTACTAAAGTGTAGAGCGGATCTTTTGGGAGTCCACTAACATAGTCAGTGAACTATGTGGAACAAGGCAAACCGTCAAATTGAAATTGACCGCTGAACATATAATATCTCCATGAAGCGAGCTAACAAATTGATTTAATTAGAGGACAAGATAATCATAACCCACATCAGAGCATCTTAAATTGCTATATCTACCTAAATGGAAATGAAAACTCACAAAATATTCCATCAATATTGGACTAAATCATTGCTTATATGCAATTCTGGAGACACATTAGGAAAAGTATCCATGAATTAGTTCTTCCAAAATCTAACAACAAGCGGCACTACATGGAGCTATTGAACACTGCAAGGTTTTATCAAAGAGCCCATTTTTACAATAGACTGGCCACCAGCGCCGTGCTAGCGTGCAGCCCCGCCGAACGCCTGCAAGAGGAAACAGTGAAGATCGCACCTGGGCAAAATCGACAGGCTAGGGTTTCGTGGAACACCGCTGTACAGTCCAGGCCCTCTAGGACGAGGACCAGCAATATGCCCACCCGGTGCGCCGGCAAATCTGGAGAGAGGGAGCTGGGGTCCTAGAGCACAGGAGCTAGGGTTTCGTGGAGCACAAGAACCGACGCAGACCGACGGGAGGAGGCAGCACCGGTGAGCAGGCATGGCGTCGGCCACCGACGGAGCCCAGCCGCGCTGCGCTCTGGCCGGGGACGGCCACCGTGGGCGAATCCGGGGCGGCGCGAGGCAAGGAGGGGAGGGGCCGGGGCCGGCAGCCGGCTGGATGATAGGAGGGGAGGGGCCGGCCGCCGGCGGGAGGAGAGGAGGTGGTGGATCCGGGGCGGCTCGGGGCAAGGAGGGGAGGGACCGGGGCTGGCCGTCGGCGGGAGGAGAGGAGGGGAGGGGCCGGCCGCCGACGGGAGGAGAGGAGGCGGCGGATCCGGGGCAGCGTGGGGCAAGGAGGGAGGGGCTGGCTGCTGGCCAGGGAGGAGAGGAGGAGGGGCCGGCCACCGCTTATGGAGGAGAGAGGAGGCGACGGATCCGGGTCGGCCAGCAGGCAAGGAGGGAGGGCCAGGGCCGCCCCAAGGCGAGAGGAGAGGAGGGGAGGGGTTGGGGCCGGCCGCCGGTGGGAGGCAGTGAGAGGGAGCGGGGGCAGGGAGAGGAGGGCTGAGCAGGCGAGTCCGCGAGGGTGTTTGGGGGCGGCGGCCGGCGGGTTAGGGTTAGGACTTGTTTGTTTTTTTATTTATCCTATGCGTGCATATATTTTTCTGTGCGTGCATATATTTTTTCTGTGTGTTTTTAAAGAACCGACAGAATAAATTGTATTGTTCCGTGAATGCTGATTTTTTCGTGTGTGTATTGTCACGCACAGAAAAATCATACAATTATTCTGTGGGTTTTCGAGAATAACCGTAATTTTTTTGTGCGTACCAAAAAAAACGCACAGAAAAATTCGTCACCCACAAGACAATTCGAGTTTCCAGAAGTGTGTAGCCCCGGCAACCCCCTTTGGATCCGCCCCTGCATGCCACCATCTTCCTTTGTCAACATCGAGATCAGCTCTTCCCTTGGCTCATCAATGCCAACAAGGCTAGCCGCCTTGGTGTACAGAGCTGTTATGCGAGGGTCAGCCAATGTTTTGGCAGGAGTATAATAGCATCAATCTTGTACCTGTTCAGAGAGAATAAAAAAACCAGGACAAAGTGGCTAGTAAGACGAAATTTCGGTGACATTCAAATTCAAAGTCTTGGTGTTCCAGAACCTGTCCCGTCGCTCGGCCACCTCCTTGGCACGCTCCTTGATGTCCTTGATCTCTTGGCCGATCTCATCACGTGTCTTGGCCTTGCTCACAATACTTGTCATCTTCTTGATGAATCTTTTGATGCTCCTTTTGCTGGGAGGCTCAGAGCCCTGAACACGCACAAGGAAGGTGTCAACTATGTCCTCCATGTTATAGGAGAGCTCCCGAACATCCCGAGCCCAAATCTTGACTGCTTCTTTAAGCTGCTCCTGTGGCACCTCTCCGACATCGCGGAAGGCGCCGCGAATGCTCTCTAGTTCTCTTGTGACGAACTCGATGTCCTTCTTGACTCCCTTGTGCAGGTTGTACTCATCCTTTAGCAGCTGGCCAAGCTTCGGAAGCAGGGTGCCCAGCGCCCCCGTTGCAAACTCCCTGGGTCCTAAGGTCACTACTGACTACACATATTCCAGAAGCACATGTGCAGCGTACGAGGATCTAGAGGTCACAGAAAGAGTTGAACAGTGCTCAGGTTATATTGCAGAAACAAAGTTCATCAACAAAAGAATTTTAAGCAGTAGTAGAAAAAGCAACGGATTGAAATGGAAGAAGCAGGACGGAAACGATTCCAGCAGTCGAAGTAAAAACGAAACATCATCGTTCAATGTCATAATTATGAAAGTAGTTTCATGTAAAAAGATTTCCGATTCACCAAGGTTTGCAGGAGAGGAGAGGGTGCCTGTAGTGAGCAGTTGGGGGGCTTTGTCCGGCTTTGTGGAATGGTGCATGGGTTTGCTCCAATGGGGTCGGGCGGCGAGACGCACACAGCATTTTAGCACAGACGCACAGGGCCGCCGGTGTATAAACCCAAAAAAAGATGTTTAAGCCGGCGGGCGCCCACCAGCCAGCCCGAGTTCGGTGGAGCCAATGAATTTGGACCCATCATCCTTTTTTGGACCACGCAGTCGTGGGCTGGATTCGTCTCGTAAATTAGTCCAACGCCTCTACAATTAGTTTTATAGTTAGATCATCTTTAATCCTCCTAATTACCTCTGAACCTTTCGATGTGATAAGAGCCCAAGGATCCAAACACCGGGCAGCCTGCGTGCTGCTGCCTGGGGACCCTGCCTCCGGCCGAGTGGCCAACCAAATGTGTTCGTCCTTGCGTTTTGTTGAATTACAGTGCGTCAACGCATGCCCAGCCAGGGAAAATATCTAGTGCAAACTCAGTAATAGGTGGAAACCTGCAAACTTGGATCGTGGATCGTTGGATACCAGATGTACGGCGTACAGAGTCCTTTGGCACATTTTGTATTTACCACCCCGCACTGACTCATCAGTACCTTTTCCTGTAGGAACCCTGAACTAGATAGAAAATGTGCTGCCACCTCCATTTGAATCGATTCTTCATCTGAGAAAGCTTCATTCCAACCGAAGCTTCCTTCACTGGTACTGCAGGTACCTCAGTTCCTCCTCTGCTCGACACCCCTCCATTGATCTCGCATTTTCCCCCAATTTTAGAAGACCTAGGGATTCTGCTCTTCTTCTTTAGGGCTGTGCACGGCAGTGGACGTACTCTCGCCGGCAGTCACAGTACATGGGTTGCGCCTCCTGCAGTCCGGTGCTCATCTAGTTACAGTAAGATCATTCCACCTTCATCCATTATTGCTGCTCTTTGAGGTTAGTAGTTCGCGAGTTCTAACCAATTTGAAGTTATCCTTCTCCCATCTCTATACTATTCAGCCAGATCATTACTACCTGCTGCGGCTGCGGCTACAACAAGTTTCTCAATATTTACTCATGTTCATAGTACACTGGTACATAAACAAGTTGTACTCCCGGTTGGGAAACCCCTTCAGTCCCGGTTTCCCAACCGGGAGCACGAATCCGGGACTAAAGGGTCCCTCCTTTAGTCCTGATTTCTCGCCCGTGACTAAAGGTCGGTTGGTAATATCAACCGGGGTTAAAGAGGCCTCCCGGCCTGGCCACGTGGGCCGGCCCTTTAGTCCCGATTGGTATTACCAACCGGGACTAAATATTTTTTTTTTTCTATTTTCAATTGATGATTCGTTTTGGTATTATCAACCGGGACTTCAAAAACTGTCGCTGGCCATGCAAACAACTACTAGCAAACACACTGTGGGTTGCAAGCCCATCGCTGCAGCCGGAATCCATTGATGCATCCCCCGCACAAAGAATTGACCAATCTGCATAGAAGGATTAGCGCAAAGAATTAACCAATCTCCCCATAAAAAATAAATAATCTTTCTTGTTCTTCCCATTAAATGTTTTATTCATTCATGCAACCGCAACAAGAATATAAAGGAAAAAAATACATTACTCTGACAAAGTTTCAAAGTTTTGGCCAACAAGATTAGGAATTTTACTGGTGTACTCACCTCACTTATCCAAGCACGACTTCAAGGCTCCACGGGGCTTTGTCTTCCTGACTTGCCGCAAGCGCTGCATGCATGGACTCCGTGAGAGCGACCACAGCGCACATCACCTAGCCGGAAATAGCAAGATCCACTACACCTAGAGTGCCGCTGCCGCAAGAGCTTGCGCCACGAACTCGCTGGAGACGCAACTCCTAGGCCCGCGTGACGCCACCGCCGCACGGCCGGTGCGCCGCAAGCCGGCGTGCAGCCGTCGTCGTAGCTCGGCTCGCACAATGGCGCACAGCTTGGAAAAGGAGATCCGGTGGATTGGAGATTGAAGAGAGAGAGTGAAGACTGAAGAGAGGATGAGATGCAGCACTGGCGTGAGGATGTTGAGAAGATAAGGATGAAGAAGAGGAGAGAGAAACTGTTGGAGGCGGTAAAATTTTTGCCAAGAAAATTTTTGGAAGTCCCGCGTTCAACATAAACTGTTGGAGACAGCAACCGGGACTAAAGGTCTCTTTCTAGTCCCGGACGGAGCATCCAGCCTGGAGTAAACTTTTACTCCCGGTTGGAGGGACCAACTAGGAGTAAAAGTTAACTTTTAGTCCCGGTTGATAGCTCCAACCGGGATTAAAGGTCCCCTGCAACAAAAGCCTGCCGTTGGGCAGGGACCTTTAGTCCCGGTTGGAGCTACCAACCGGGACTAAAAGTTTCTCTAGTCCCGGGCGCGAAAAATACCGGGACTAAAGCCAAATTTCGGAGTGGATCAAAAGTCGTTTCTACTGCTGGTAGAAAATAAAACAACTGCAGCCTGTACAGCCGCAGAAAGGCACAGCCGAGCAGGCCTATTGTTCTTGTTCAATTGGTAAGGTTACTGTACTCTCAGTGTGTGTATTCAGTATTTCAGTGTGGATGTGTTAACAGTGGTATTGGGATGAACACAGAACACCTGCAGTACTTTTGTTTGTTAATAAATAGAGGTAGGCCAATTTAATGAACCTCCAGTACTTTTGTTTGTTAATAAATAGAGGTAGGCAAAGTTATGTGTTTCTAATTCTAAGCCAAGCATTACTCAGTAGTTCTGTTTTAATTTTGCAACCTATTGGTCAACGATCAGCTATCTACAATCCTGTTGTATCCACCTTATTTAATTTACTTCATAATTTACCCCCCTTGTTTCTGTAATCTTGCAGCTACAATGATCTTTGAGGCTAAAGTGAGCATGACAAGGCAATTGGATTTTAATGATGTACACTCTGATGTTGAGTCAATTGCTCCTATTATTCCAGCTCGTGAATGTACCACACCACAGAAGTCCTTCAGCATCCCGTTCTCTGTGAGTGTCATGCAACTATGTACTTTCAATACCTTTTTAGAAGAGGTGTTATTTGACATCTATCATGTATGTTGTAGGGTTCATCTTATACTCCAGATTGTGACGACACCTTGAAACGCCACGTTGGGATGACTTTCACAGATGTTGAATCAGCCAAGGAGTTCTATAAGCGTTATGCTCATCATGTGGGTTTTTCAGTTCGTGTTGGGCAGCACAAGGTTGTTGATGGAGTGGTCTTATACAAGCGTTTCTTTTGTGCAAAAGAAGGTTTCCGTGATGACAACAATATGCAATCAATTAGCAAGCGAAAGAGGTATGAGAAAAGAATCACTAGGTGTGGGTGTGAGGCTATGCTTGTTATCAAGCGGACTGATGACTGTAAGTACACTGACAAGATTTGAGGAAGATCACACACATGCACTTGTGACCCCCTAGCAAGCAGCAATTCATAAGGTCCAATAGAAAGGTTACGTTGCGTGCAAAACACACACTGTTCACATGCCATAAAGCAAACATTGGCACATGTCAGGAACTTGTTTCTGATGGACTGACCCAACCAACTAATGTGTCATCAAGCCTGAGATAACTAAACTGGTGGTAGCCTTCCAGTAATCAGCTCCACGAGGACGACAACACCAAAAGGAAAACATGTGCCCTGTTCGCTTGGCTGATAAACCATGGCTGAAAGTTCTATTGGCTGATTTGTTGTGAGAGAAAAATAATGTTCGTTGGCTGAAAAAGTACGGCTTATAAGCTTTGCCGGTTACTCTCTAATGCAGAGGAAGCCCGGAGTTGTGTGCCTCGTTCATACTTGCCAACCTAAAATCTGCAACCTGTAGAGAATAAAGACACAGTAATGAACAAAGGTTTGTGTGACCGCACATTGTTGAAGATAAACCATGCTTGATGAACTTAACAGGTTGTATGATTTAAGGATAACCAGGCAATACGTATACATAGATCGTCAGAGTTCAGTGCTACTCTTCTAGATACTAAACTAAAGAGAACAAAACATCTGCAGAAAGTATTAACTAAAATTCATCATGAAAATAGGCCAAGCCCCTTCCTGATCCCGTAGCTATTTTCCATCTTTGATGCCAGTTCATACATCATAGAAATTTCTAAACATAGGCTCACAGCTACACAATCTCGCAGGTTCTTTCATAGTTCATACATGACTACATGAATTAAAAGTTCAACACCCATATATATTAACAGAAGGTTATCAATCATCAAACTGACAGATCAATTGTAAATTAATCAGATCTGGAGAATGGATATGCCTAATAACTAATATACTATAACACGAGCTTCACATTTAATATCATAGGTGCCTAATGTAGTCTTAACACAAGCTCACCATTAGCCATGTTGTGGAGCCGTCCGGAGTCTGGACAGAGTAGACTCTCGAGTCCTGGACTGGACACTGACTAGAGCAGTGGAGGCGTGGAGCCAGAGCTTGGACCCTGGAGCAGAAGGACCTGGCCACTAGGGAGCAGAGCACCGGAGCAGGCAAGCTGCAGCCAGCCACACCGCCGCCTGCAGGATTCGCCCGCCGTGGCCGCCTGATGCCTGTTGACCGACGAACACCGCAGCCGCCCGTCCATAGGCGGAGCTCTCCATACGGCAGGGTGGGGCGGCTGCCCCAGCTACCGCCGGAGTGGATCCACTAGTACCCCTCTGTCTTCCTCCCCTCCGGCAGGCGGCAGCGAAGGAGCGGCGGCGTCCGTCGTCCGACGCACCGAGGAAGACGATAGCGGCGTTCGTCCGTCGTCCCCCAAGCCGTCGAGGTCCAGCGCTCGCGTTCTCCTGCGGCGCCACACTCGGAGAGTCGGAGTCGGAGCTCCGCGCGGCCGCGCCCGAGCAAGCTTTTGCCGTTCGCCGGCCGCCGGCGCGCCACTCGCCGCGCAGCTGCCCCAAGCGGCCAAACCCACGCCGCGCCGGCCCCGAGCTGCTCTGCTGATGGAGCAGGATTTGGTGGGGGAGGCGGAGGTTGGACGCGGCGACGCCGGCGAGCAGACGACTGGCGCTGGCCACGGGCGTGGGCGTGGCCGGGGAGAGGCTGGAGGAGAGGGAGAGGGATGGAGGAGCAGGCCGTGGTCGAACTCCCCGGCCGACGGTTCGCCCCACCTAAATTTCTAGGCCACCGCCGGCATGTGCACCCACCGCGGCCGCCTGTTTACCGACGCAGCCACCGGCCAAGGACTCCGCCCGATGCCCGCCGCGATTGCGCGCGACCTGCCTGCGGGCCGCCGTGGCCTCCAGACCCAGCGACTTTTCTCATATGGGGAACGAGATTGGAATAGACCTCACGGCACACTCAACATTGTTCAGAGGTCTAATAGCAAAGGGTACTGAGCAGTGCGGGAGGAAAATGAAAATGTACTAGAGAACTTTCTAGGCCGCAGATCACGCATCCGATGGTGCACGACGCAAGTTTGAAGGTTTCCATCTACTGCTGAGTTTACACTACATATCCCCCCTGTGCATCATCACATCGCTTTGCCAGTGGACGAGGAACGTACTCTCTTCGTCCCAAGATAAGTGCACTACTAAAATTTAAAATTTATTTACCAAATAAGTATATCTCTATGTACGAGACAACCTAATGCTAGTTGTCTTTTTTACTTTCTCTCATCTCAAAATGCAATAATTACATCTTTATAGAGATATAAATATAATTTCTCGTTACCATTGGTCTTCCCACAAAAGAGGAAGAATTGCACTTATTGGTCCCGTTCGGCTTACCCATAAATAGGTTTGTTCGGCTTGTTTTTTCAGCTGGAACAGTGTTTTCTCTTTCACAATAATTCAGCAAGAACAGTGTTTTTTCAGCAAGTTTCAGCCAAGTTTCAGCAAGTCGAACGGGGCCATTTTGAGATGGATAGAGTATCCTATAAACGCACGCACGCACATCCTACTCCTATGATCACCTCCGAAGAACTGAGTTGGACTGCCAAATCTCGATATGGATGAAGTTATCATAGACGTCTCGTAGTCGACGGACACGTCACCTATCACCGAAAAAACTACGCCATTAAATTATAAAATAAATTTAGAAAAATACGAACATCCGTATCAAGTCAAGAACTTAAACCTGATTGGACATGTTCCGGTACCCAGCCAGGTAAGCTACGCTCAGTTTGCTGTAGTAGGCAACTTTACCACGAGTGGGTGTGCGCATTGTGCATATTCCAGTTTTACCGTGAGTGCAACTTTACAAGCATGGACGACAAGAGACGTGTGTGATGGAGCCATGAACTTACACCCTTTTGTCTGCATGCAGTCACCATGAATTATTGTTAGCAACCGGACAAGCAGGGAGGAGACCCCGTGAACCGAGCCAGCTGTCGTCTCGTCTCCTCAGTCTATAACCGAGTCACTACTACTATCCTGTTGGTGTGGCACATGTGAGAGGAAGAGCAGAGCAGCTACGGGCCTGTACAACGGTTGAATGTTTCCTATCGTTGCTGATTTCTTTATGAGAAAGAAATATTACTGGCTAGTTTAAATAAACAGTATTTATGTGAGAGGGCTGGCCAGCCCAGCGATCAGGCAGATTACGTGTCAGGCGCTTAAAAGAAGTTAAGAACGTTTTTCTGCCAGGCTGGAACTTGGCCCGAGCGCTCGCGAACGCATCGACGCTCGTCAGACGCTTGCATCCGGCCACAAGCGCCGATGCTCCAGGCTTGCCTAAGAAGTGCCGAAGGATTACTACTCTATCCATACGTTCCGCGTTGGGGCAGATGAGCGCCGAAGTACAGCCCGTTCCCTCGATCATATTTCGCTTATAAATCATGGTTTATTAATCAATGAATGTTATTTTTCTCTCATACTAAACCAGCCAAGAGTATTTTCAGTCATGACTTATAAACCAAACGAACAGGACTTATAGATTATTTAGCTTCAAACTAATTAAGTGCTTATAAAGAATTTTCCACTGTAGATTAGTAGATGCTTGTATGTTCTCTCTTTAAGAGTCTATCTAAGCAGCTTTGCATTGCCCATGCCCTAAGTGCTTGTTTAGTTCTTAAAATTTTGTAAAATTTTTCAAGATTCCTCGTCACATTGAATCTTTGGACGCATGCATGAAGCATTAAATAAAAAATAAAACTAATTACATAGTTTAGACGAAATTCACGAGACGAATCTTTTAAGCCTAATTAGACTATGATTGGACACTAATTGCTAAATAACAACGAAAGTGATACAGTACCATTTTCCAAAAAAAATTCGCCAACTAAACAAAACACTCATTAGATTTGATACTGGCGAACAATATTCCGACATGCCATGCCTTCTTTGTTGCTGGTTCATTGAACAGTGGATTTCGGATTATTTCGGATGATTCAGTAATGTTCTATAAGAGAGAATAAACTAAAATAAATTAAAAATAGTACAGCCGAACACACTGAGTTTCCACCTCTTACTTTGATTGGATAGTGCCACGTGTGCTCATTCTCTTTCCTTGTGCTCGGCTGCGCGTGGTGGTAATGAACACTGCATGCCTGCTCTCAACTGCTATGACGTCACGCTGATGCAGCCACCAAAAAGCAAAACATTTGTTTCAATTTGCTATAACTTCTAAACTGTGCATTGATTTTTAATTCCGTCTGCACCGATATATTCTACGTGACGAGACGAACAAAACTAGACCCACTTACATATGTTTTGAAGAATTTTTATACTAGTAGCAAATTATGTGTATTAAATTATACCATATAACTTACAACATATAACTTATGCGATAACTTAGAAACACAAAAGTTATGAAACACAACGTATGTACAAAAGTTACTAAACATAAATGGATGAATTACCTTATAACTTATGCCAAAACTTAGAAACACAAATGAACGAAATAACTTATAACTTATATCAAAACTTGGGAACATAAGTTATGAAACACAACTTATATTAAAAAAGTTATCAATCACAACTTCTATACATATGTTATTCTATACAACTTGTGTACATAAGTTATTCTATACCACTTACATTTACAAATTAATATCATAATAAATTAACAGATATATTGGTAGCGTACATAAAAGAAAAATCGTTAGACTACTTAAAAAATAAAAAGAAAAAGAAAAAAAGGAAAATAATACATTATTGATTAATTAATACAAGAGGAGCCAACTGAAACCATGCAGACGTCATCAGATCCAGAGGCCATCCATGTGTCGTCAACTGGAGGTGGTTATGCACGTGACCGACTTGCGAGAGAAGAAAGGAAAAACATGGGTCTCGTCGTTCGCCGAGTTTGAATCGCGCGAGTGACCGTCCAAATGGAATCGGGTGGGAGGCTGCAAGAAATTCATGCTGCCTCTCTTGTCTAACATACAGTACAGCCTCTTGTCCTACGCGGCCGTTTGGGTTGCATCGCGCCGGCCTCGTG